CCACAGCTGTTCATGGGTTTTTTTTGTTTACAGCCTCAAGCTATTTCCTCCGCTGCAAGTGTGCAGCTGCTGATCTTTATCCACAATCTTTGAGCTACTCAGGTTACGTGTGAGGTCCACTCGTTGCTTCAGCACCATGTGCTGGCACTGGCTGCAGAGCTTTTTCTCACGACAAGAAGGCCGCCGGAGCACATCTTGGCGCTGAATACAGAGCTGTGCGAAATGTTTTTGAACTGCTTTTGAACTGCACGCGATGCTGTTTTTTGGAATACGATGTGCAAAAATGGAAAGAAATATGGTTGAATGCATATATTGGAACGCCAACCTATGGAAAGGGTGGTGGCTTTTGGAGAGAGGTGACACTAAACCAAATGGCTAAGTTCATTGGACATCTGATTTATATACTTATTAGTCGCATCACAGGCATTCATCCTGTTTTGGAACACCTGCAGGCTCGTCTTGAAAAAAATAAAAAGATAAAAAGACGAGTTCACTTGTCTCACACGAAAACCAAGCAATGCTTTATTGCTTGGCACAAGAAATGAACGAGCACCTCGGTTGCGATTTTCATTGTATATGGAAACAGAAACATTTTGTACATTTATTTTTTTATACTTTTCCTAGATCATTTATCTTCAAAATGTATATTTAATTTTTTTGTTTTCAATATTTTTGAAAATATAGTGTTTTTATTGCACGGTTTACCAACTAGCTCCATAAAATTACACACTTTTCACAATTTTATTTGTTTCTAACTATTTTTGTTGCTCTACAAGATATTTTATGGAAAGAGCATTTTATTGTGTAAAATTTAATACGCTGTAATGCGAGCTGGAGTTTTTTTTTCAAATGGCAAGAACTATGTTCCAGAAACATATCAGAAATGGCCATTTTGGCCCTTCTGGGACTATATTAGAATAATGTGCACCAACACAATACTTGTAACATTGCAGTAAAATTAAGTATTGAAGCATACCTCTATCCTTTTATCGAATGTCAACAAGCTTCACATATTCACCATGCAGTGGCCACTGGCTTGCACACCATGCGTGTCAAATCTTTGAGATATGCCTAAAGCAATGGTTCTTAGCCATTGATGTGTCAGGAAAACCTTGTGGACTGGTGGAAGTGATGGGAGGACCCCTTGCAGCGGAGGGCATTGGGGTGGGTGGGTATGTAGATAAATTAACACAACTGGAGCGTGAAACAGGTGCCTTTTATTGCTACCAAAAACATCAAACAAACGTGCCTTATCACTTAATTTTGGACATTTGACCAATATGTGGCACAGTCACGCTTAAAGAAAAATGTGGGTGAAGGTTTCACGATCATAGAAATGGCTTCACGGATACCCGAGTGTTTGCGGACCCCCGTTTGAGAACCACTGGCCTAAAGCATATAGAAATAAGCCACTTAAAATTTTGAGCATTATCAGCAGCGTTGTTCTGGAAGACAGAAAAATAATTGATAATTCATAGGCTACCAAACTTGGTTTTGTTGCAAAAGATGTGCAAAAAGGGCCCTTGTCATTGAGCACGACTGTGATGTGATGTTGCCCAGTGATTTGTAGGCATAGTTGGTGGTGACTGTGAAATTTGCAGCCGCTGTCTTAGGTAACAAATGCATTTCTGGTGTGATGACGTTTCACTTATATTCACATTTGCTAATTATTTCATAAAAAGACTGCCTTGACATGACAAATTGTTTCCCGATGAAGGTAGATCACAGAAAACACACAGATGAAAACTACTCAGTGGTGTAGCAGATCATCATCATCATCATCAGCCTGACTGCGTCCACTGCACGACAAAGGCCTCTCCCATGTTCCGCCAGTTAACCCGGTCCTGTGCTTGCTGCTGCCAATTTATAATCGCAAACTCCTTAATCTCATCTGCCCACCTAACCTTCTGTCTCCCCCTACCCTGCTTGCCTTCTCTGGGAATCCAGTTAGTTACCCTTAATCGCCAGCGGTTATCCTGTCTACGGGCTACATGCCCGGCTCATGTCCATTTCCTTTTCTTGATTTCAACTATGATATCTTTAACCCCCGTTTGTTACATAATCCACTCTGTCCTCTTCTTGTTTCTTAAGGTTACACCTACCATTTTTCTTTCCATTGCTCACTGCGTCGTCCTCAATTTAAGCTGAACCCTCTTTGTAAGTCTCCAGGTTTCTGCTCCGTAGTTAAGTACTGGCAAGATGCAGCTGTTATGGACCTTCCTCTTGAGGGATAGTGGCAATCTACCTGTCAGAATTTGAGAGTGCTGGCCAAATGTGCTCCACTTATTCTTATTCTTCTAGGTACTTCAATCTCATGGGTCGGCTCCGTGGTTATTACCTGCCCCAAGTAGACATAGTCTTTTACAACTTGAAGTGTACAATTACCTATTTCGAAGCGCTGCTCTTTTCCGAGGTTGTTGTACATTACTTTTGTTTTTTGCAGATAAATTTTAAGACCCACCTTTCTGCTCTCCTTGTCTAATTTCGTGATCATGTGTTGCTATCGTCCCCTGAATTACTCAGCAATGCAATGTCATCGGCGAAGCGCAGGTTACTAAGGTACTCTCCAATAACTCTTATCCCTAGCTGTTCCCATTCTAGGCTTCTCAAAACCTCCTGTAAGCACGCGGTAAATAGCATTGGGGAGATTGTGTCCCCTTGTCTTACACCCTACTTTATCGGTATTCTGTTAATTTCTTTATGAAGCACTATGGTAGCAGTTGATCCCCTGTAGATTTCTTCCAGGATGCTTATATATACTTCACTGACGCCCTGATTTCACAGTGTCTGCATGACGGCTTATATTTCTACTGATTCAAACGCCTTCTCGTAATCTATGAAGGCTATGTATAGTGGTTGGTTATATTCTGAGCATTTCTCTATTACCTGATTGATAGTATGAATGTGGTCGATTGTTAAGTAGCCTGTTTGAAATCCTGCTTGTTCCTTTGGTTGATTGAATTCTAATGTTTTCTTTACTCTGTTATCAATGACCTATGTTAATAGCTTGTATACTACAGAGAGCAAGCTGATCGGCCTGTAATTCTTCAAGTCCTTGTCATCTCCTTTCTTATGTATTAAGATGATGTTAGCGTTCTTCCAAGACTCTGGTACTCTTCCCGTCAGGAGACACCTCATAAACAGAGTGGCTAGTTTTTCTAACACTATCTGTCCAACATCTTTCAGCAGATCTGATGTTACCTGATCCTCACCAGAAGCTTTGCCTCTTTGCATGCTCTCCAAAGCTTTTCTGACTTCTTCTATCATTACTAGTGGGGTGTCATCTCGGTTACTGCTAGTTCTTATAGTATTAAGGTAGTGGTTGTCCCGGCTACTGTACAGATCTCTGTAAAACTCCTCTGCTATTTTAACTGTCCTATCCATATTGGTAGTTATTTTGCCTTCTTTGTCCCTTAGTGCGTACATCTGATCTTCGCCTATCCCAAGTTTCCTCTTCACTGCTTTGACGCTTCCTCCGTTTTTCAGAGTGTGTTCAATTCTCTCCATGTTATACCTTCTTACATTGCATACCTTACGCCTATTAATCAACTTCAAAAGCTCTGCCAGTTATATTTTGTCTGCTGTACTTGAGAAGTTGATTTGACGCTTATTTATGAGATTCTTCGTTTCCTGGGAAAGCTTGCCCGTGTCCTGTCCAAATTACCCCTCTTCCAACTTCCACTGCACACTCCGTAATGATACTCGTCAGATTATCACTCATTGTATCTACGCTAAGGTTGGTTTCTTCACTAAGAGCAGAGTACCTGTTCTGAAGTGAGACTCTGAATTCCTGTACTTTCCCTCTCAGTGCTAGCTCATTGATTGGCTTCTTGTGTGTCAGTTTCTGTTGTTCCTTCTTCAAGTATAGGTGAATTCGAGACCGTACCATTATATCGTCACTGCATCGTACCTTGCCAACCACTTCCACATCCTGCACGACGCCTGGGTGTGCACTCATTATAAAGTCTATTTCGTTCTTATTTTCGCCATTAGGGCTGCTTCATGTCCACTTGCGGTTTCCTCGTTTTCGGTAGAAGGTATTCAAAATCTGTAAATTATTGCGTTCTGTGAATTCTACTAGTAGCTCTCCTCTGGCGTTTTTAGTGCCGATGCCATAATCTCCTACTTCCTGGTCTCTAGCCTGCTTCTTCCCTACCTTTGCATTAAAGTCTCCCATCAGTGTAGTATACTGTGTTTTTACCATACTCATTGCCGATTCCACGTCTTCATAGAAGCTTTCAACTAAAGCGTCATCATGGCTAGATGTAGGCGCGTAAGCCTGTACCACCTTCACCTTGTATCTGTTATTCAGTTTAATTACGATGCCTACCACCCTTTCATTAATGCTATAGTATTCCTCTATGTTGCCAGCTATGTTTCTGTGAATTAGGAACCCCACTCCCAGCTATCTTTTGTCAGCCAAATCCCTATAGCAAAGCACGTGTCCATTCTGTAGCGCCGTATAGGCCTCATCTGTCCTCCTAACCTCACTGAGCCCTATTATATCCCATTTAACACCCTCTAGCTCCTCGAACAGTACAGCTAGACTTCCCTCACTAGATAAGGTTCTAGCGTTAAACGTTGCCAAGCTCATGTTCTAATGGCGGCCTGTCCGGATCTAGAGATTCTTAGCACCCTCTGCTGCATTGCAGATCTGACCGCCGCCATGGTCAGTTGCTTCGCAGCTGCTGGGTGTAGCAGGTGATACCGCCTGATTCAAGTGGCAGCAGAGAGACTTGAACACATTTTATCTCATCGCTGCTTTTCATTTTTGTGGCTGGCCCCGTCACCAGATTATGTTGTCTGCTGTTATTTTGTTTCAGGTTAGTCTATGCACGATTGTCTATCCACGTTTTGTCTATCCACATACTTCATATCTGAAAGAAAACCGTACAAAAACTTTATGCTAATTCCTTGCTAAATATGATTTTGGGCAACATAAAGTAATTTCTGGAAGTTTGCTCACATTTCTAATGAATACATTTTATATATAACTGCAGGACATGGAAGCAGCAACTTATGATCTGCATCGGCGAGGCTACATTGGTAGAGAAGAACTGTACACAGCATTAAAAAGTCAGCGGAAGGCATTCCCCAATGGCGTCACCAAGTGCGGCAGTGATGCTTTGCGCCTGGCTCTGCTTCTATACGACGTCACAGGTACAGCCATTTATGCGATGTTTTCGGGCGCCTTTTGTTGAGATTGAGAACTAGACATGAAAAGGAAGTTCGGTGTAATAACTAAATTTCTGAACCATTAAAACCTAAAGTTGAGAACTAACAGACAATGATGCCAAGGACAGTATAGGCGATGGTATTAAAAGTAATTGTAATGTAAATGTAAACGAAAAAATACCTTGCCGAGGGCATGGACCAAACCTGTGACCTATATATATTGTGTCTAGCAAAGAAAAACAAGCCCTTAAATTTCCACTTCTTTAAATCATTCACAGGGAGAGTCTGGTTCCGACAGACTTGATGCCTTTGGGTCGTATGCCAGGGATTACTGGTCAGCTGCCAGCTGGTAATGATATTGTGAACAGAATGGAAGCTGCCAACACACCAATCGTATGTATAATAATAAAACAATGACCCCGGGTGAGCTCACAGCTTACACTTAGTGACCACTTACGAGCAGTCACTGCCGGGGTTTAGACAAGTAAAAATGTGTCTTCAAGTGCCGTGGTTTCGTCTTTGAGGGCTTTCGAAGCCAACCGCAGCCCAGAATCCAATAACGTGCTATGTGATGCCAACAGGCAGAAAAAGAGTGTTGTGTACTTGATGTCATGGCTACTAGCAGTGCTGACTAAAGTGTGTTTCACATGCGAGCGATTTCGCCCCAGGAGCAGAGCGGCGGCAGTCACGGGACTCCAAAACAGGTTTTTACAGCCATTACTGGATGCTGTATCGAACATCATTGGGATTGGAAAAATTTGCTCGCAGCAGAGCCCTAGAACAGCCAATGGAGGAGCAATGATGTGAGGAGCACGTGACTTCAGGGGTGTAGCCGAGAAGTAAGGAAGCAAGCCAGGAGAAACTCGCTTTTGAGGCAGACGACATTCACTGCAGCGAGATGCTCTCCCCTGGCAGTGTAGAAGGGCCATTCTATGCCTATTGTTGTTTTCAACATAGCTTCTTATCAAAGCAGACAAGTTGTTTGCATGTTTCATTTTGTTTTTACAGTGAAAGCTGTTACAAGATCAGAACATGGGTCGTGCGGCGCGCTGTAGTTGTCCGCTGCCACCGCCGGTGGTGCCCGTAACCAGTATAGAAAGAAAAAAACTCTAAATAAAAAAACACGAATGACACAATGGGATCGGAACTAGGGTCCACTGCGTGCCAGCCCAGTATTACCACTGAGTAATTAATGCCAGTGCTTGGAATGCTTTTCTAAACTGGTCTTAGGCAGGCTTGATGTCGGGAAAGGAATTGTGTTAATATGAGTAATAAAGTGTTTTAGAACATCAAAGGAACAGCCAGGCGTTATACAATGCGAATTGCGTAATTAGTGGATCGTCCAATGCTGCAACCCATTAGAAAACGTTTTCTTGATCACCTATTAACTATGGCGCATACCCACTTCAGGCATAATTCTTCATAGTGATCAGCGACTGCATAAAAAATTGCACAAAATTCCTTAACAACTGTGCAGTGGATACCATGCTTCTCTAAAGAACGACGAAGGATAGCATAATGAATGCTGGCCTGCTACACAAATATTATGATTATTTATGGCATAGTGGGTACCCAGCGGTGTGCTTGTAGCAGTTACCCAAAGAGTATTTAGAAAAAGCTCTGAAAGGCTGCTCTTCTAGCTTTCGCTGTGACTGTGCTGCGTATTCCGCACAGACCTGGCTTTTTTTTTTTTTTTTGCAATTTTGTCGAATCGTGACTGCACCAACATTAGTCTCAGAAGCGGGACGCTACGGCACTCCGCACATGTTGCTATTTTTTTCTTGTTTACTTTTATGACCCAGTGCCTTCACAGTTTGCTGTTTTATTCCTTTGAATGGCCACATGACAACAAATGTTGCCGTCTCTTTACTGGAATGCACGCAAAAAGAAATGAGGTGCTTCACCACCTCACAATATTGTCAATTGGTCAGCTTACATATGGTTGTCTGTCTGGACAATGCACCGCTTCTTTGCCGTCTTCCAGAACAAAAGCCACCAACAGTTCTGTGAACCACAAAATCCGACTTTTTATTTTACCGTTACCTGACCATGTCTATAAACGTGCAAAAAGACTGGCGTGGTAAAGAGATCGACACAAATAAGCATCACTACTGAAGCTGTTTAATCGCACTCTTATACACTGTAAATTTTCACAATTCAAGGTTTAGGCGCGCCTAAATTGAGCACCGAATTAGAAATGCTGATATAACTAAGCGCACTTAAACAGGCGAACTTGGAGAAGGGAAACGTGCGGGACGGGTGGTTTCCCCAACCGTCACGACACATTGCAGAAGCGCGCATCTTGCCAAAGTGGCGCATGTGATACGAACCTGTGTCTGCGCGTTTCGCTGCTGCTTATGGTTGTGACCACCGCTGCTCAGTCGCTCGCATGTGAAACAGGCTTAAAGGAGCACTGACGTCAAATTTACTCATGTCAAGATTTTTGCACCAACGAGTAGCTATCAGCTCCCTAGTAGCGATTCGCGACGTAAAACGCATCTGAGTGACAAATGAGTATCTGTAGTGTTGAATAATATATTCGCTATTGAACGCAGTTAAAAATGGCTGGAAAGCCCGCCAAATTGTAGTGCTGGCAGCGCTACCTCACGGCCACGTTAAGCCCGCTGCACAGCTGATGTCACTTTCACAAGAAATGGTGACGTCACACTGGCGTTTTGTCGGCTAGGAGCGCACGTACAGTCAGTCCAGCTGTGTCTCTGAAGGTGTAGACATGCCTCTGTCACCAACATCGTCGTCCTCGCCATCCTCGCTGTCAACATTGGCGAGTAATGATGACAGCAACCTGGAATTGGGTATCGCCGCGATTCCCAACGATCCTTCTTGACAAGCTCCGCGTTAAATGCAATGTATTTATCAGTCCCGGCCATACTGTCGGAGCTCAAGAACACCAACTACGGACTTCATGTCCTGAACGTTTGGCGCGTGAATCGCTGCTTTCAGCTGCAGCAGGGCACACGGTAGGAATAGCCCCAGCCTCGAAAAGAGGCCTCATACTGCTAGTGAAACCCAACCGGTTTGCCAACACAGGATTTAGTCTGTAACTGCGCACCGCAAAATGAAGGGAGCAAATGCAGCTGTTCTTCACAGGCATCCAGTCCCTTTGTCTAACGGCGCGTACGAAGTAAACCCACTGGCTGTGTTGAGATTCGTGACTTGGAAAGGCATGAAACGCCACGCACTTCCCGCTTTTTTCATGCCTTGACGTGCAGGTTCTCACTACGCAACGGTTGCCCGACATTCTGGCGCATATTGTCGCTCTGAATGATTGTACTCGCACGCAGTGGTGCTCAATGCAAATCAGCCGATGCGACACTATCACTCACACCCACAGCTTCAGCACAGCGAGGAAAGTCTCTAGTGAGAGCTGCTCCAAATACACTCAGAGATTGTCGACATCATTGTTACTAGCGTATCATCACTCTGGATGGTATTTATGAAATGTATCACACCGAACACGTAGCATTAGTGTCAATGTCGCAGGGCAGTCTACTTTTCGTTTTTTCTCCTTAGCGTTTCTACACTGTTTGATATCGAAATAAAAGAACTTTGACGCGACGGACGCCATTAAAATTTGGCTATGAAGACCTATGCAACCAAGTGATTGAATGATGGACACATCTTCATCTTGAAATTTGATGTCAGTGCTCCTTTAACACTCCCAAGTTTAGGTGCACATGAAGGCACCATAAAACGGATGAGGGGATGACTGTAGCTCAGTGGTAAAGCATCGGAAGCGTTATATGGTCACAGGTTTGTTCCCACTCCGCAGTAAAGTATCATTTTGTTCATTTTCTTTTTCACACTTACGTTACAATTACCACTAATCACATCTACAATGCTTTCCTTGGCTGTTAGTTCTCATTAATACTTTGATTATACATTCCTCGGTTTCGCGAGGACCTGCATTTTATGATGGATCAGTTTGCTCCCAGCAGAGCCACCTTAAAAATTACGTATTAAGACCTTGGTTATATGACGCAGTTTTATGCTGACCTCGAATCTTATGACGACTTCTCAGTTCTGTGTGAAATTTAAAAAAAAAACACTTTTACTCATATTGCGAAAATTTGAACTTGTGTTCCCCTAGGTTGATGGTTAAGAAAGTAGACAGTGAGACAGGATGTCTTCTTAGAATTAAAAATTTATTCTCCTGGCATCTCATGAGCTTCTCTGCACACGCCTCAATCATGTGCATATGCAGGGTTGTACCTAGACAAGCTCTCTTCACACAGAATAGGTTCAGCTTGCCAGAAAGCCTATCTTATTCTTTGACATCCAGATGTTTTCATGTTTTCGGTCCGCAGAAACTTTTCTTCGTCCACGTAGTGCTAATCTTTTTCTTTTATTTATGGCACCTGCAGTCACAGGCTTGAGCATGCAGAAGGACGTGATGCAGCTATTTTTACTGTGCAAAATTACTTACACTTAATCTCAGCATTCATTATAATAGTGGGACATCATTAGTTGCACTTCAATAGGCAGGAAGTTACAACATGGGCAGCTCTGTCGCGCACGAAGGCATTCTACACAAACTCATGGTCTGTCGCCATTATGTGATCCCAATAACACCATGCCTGACTCTTCTTGGAAGGCTGTTGGCAATGCGGTTTCGGTTTCATTTTCAAGTGCCGGCAATTTTGGGGCTCAATTTATTGGGATAAAGGTGCGTGTTGGATTTGATTTTTTACAGTAGAGAATAACGATTCGCTCACACCTCGTACCCAACATAATGAATTCAACTTCCCACGTCCAAAGACCAGGCAAACAAGTCAGTTAAATTTAAATCTTCCTCCCTGCAACATTGTTTATGGGGAACCATTGTTAGAATTCTTTGGAGCTGAAACCTGGAAAGCTGTGCCTCTAGAAAAAAAAAAAAAAAACTAGACATAACTTGAACCTTTCTTGTAAATGCTTTTTCTTGTCTAGTGAATTTTAATCACCTTTTCACATACGTAGATTGTACA